GTCTGGTGGTGCACAGCAGGATGCACACAGTTCCACTGGCGACCTGGGCTGGTTGGTCACAGTCCGTTGTCCGCAAGTTACAGTTCGAGCTAAAGTCAGGGTATGAAGTGATGATTCGATGCAACGATCAGTGGTGCATACCCATTACTCTCCGGGCTATTCGCTTCAAAATGTGGTGGCGTAAAGCTCCTAATATTTGAAGCAAGATGATGTCACGGGCTGGTTACTGATTGATCGCTTAATCCGCGGCTGATTGGTGGTCATCCGGAATTATGCTAGGCGTTCCTTTCAAGGCTGATTGGTGCACAAATTTAGTGGTGAAGGGCTGCGTACCTGATAGCTCATAGCTAGTGGTCAGCATAGCCCAAGTCCACAGTGCTATTCATATACCTTCCCAAGTGTAACGTAGCCGGGCATCTTCACGGCTTTTGACACAAAGTGCCCACCACAACAGCGCCGTTCGGTCACAGGCCGTAGCGCATACAGGCCGGAGCCCAACTGGCCGGATTGCAGCAGGCCCTACTGCAGCAGCAGGTGACTTCAATACAGTTGCTACATTATCCATATATTTTTCATGTGTGTTTTGTTTTCCTTTCAATTACTTCTCTGAAGTTAACCTGTTTCTGTGATTTCTTTTCAGATAGAAATAACAATGGAAATCATTCGATCTTTATACTCGACTGTTTACTGTCAAGCTCATTCACAAGCAAATGGACTTTTACTGGCAGGAAATAATGAAGGAAAAATATTGGTCTATAAGTAAGTACCTAATTTTTGGTTACATTTTTCACACATGCATTTACTTTGCTAGTTTGCTTAAATATTATATAGGTACCTTAACTAATCTTCATGAACTAATTGTTTTAAAGAATTTAACTGATACTAGGATGTGATTATAGCTCATAATTGAATTTAAAGCGTTATACAAATCTTTTTTGTAGTTTTAAATTGCGGGAATGTGGTTTTTCAATTATCTTAAATTGAGAATTTTAAGAAGATCCTGTTTTACAGTTTCATGTGATTAAAGTTGTAATTTAAAACACACACTGATACCAAGATCCTTAATTTTGGAGTACAGAGATGGAATGTAAGATTACAAAATTCCTTTTTGCTATAGGAAAAAAAAAACTTGATGGTTGACCTGGCTGGACCTAACCCCAGTAAAATGGTCTCTAGCAACTGAGAGAAGGGTTTTAGACACACCTTACTCAAACCTTAACAATGCACTGTTTAGCATAAAGTTACACAGCTGGACATAGATGGGAATGAAATAATAACATGGATGTGCATGATTTTTCTAGAAAACTATGGTATCTACCATCTAACAGGGTAAAAAAGGACGGTCGGGGTAAATTGGGATGCACGTCCCACATTATGTAGAAATGTTGTAGCAGCTAAACTAATCAAATATTGCAAAACTAAAAATAGTGGCATAAACTTCAAAATTTTTACTATCTATTATGTATAAAGCTTGTCAAGAAATCAAACATTTACTATCTCTAAAAAATTGCTGAAAAAAAAAGTGTGAAAAGTGCGATTTTGGAAAAGTACCTCTGCTAAGGTCTGGAGCAAAAAAAAAAAAATATTTACCGTATTAAAAAATGTTACTTAAAAGTTGCACCCAGGTGTCGGCTTCAAAAGGTAATTGACGGAATTTACCTATCATTCCAAATAAAATGGCAGCCATTTCCGCGTGATGGGGTAAAAAGGGACATCCCCCGGGGTACGTAATTAGGGACACCCTTAAAAACGCATTTACAGTAGAACTTCAGTTAGCAAAGGGTCCAGTTAAGAAAAAAAGATTAACAACAAAGAATATTGATTACATTTACCTCGCTCAGCGAAAAAAATTCCACTTGTTGAAAAATTAGTGCATCATTGGTCATCACAAAATTGTGCATAGGTAGAATGTCATATATAGAATTGTGCACCAGGCATCATAGAATGAAAAGTAATTGACCTAAACTATAATTTATTTCTCCAAAACATATGATGGTTGCACCCTAAAACATTCCTTTCTGTTTCAGGTATGTTTATGACCATTTTATAGTAAATTCACTTAACCCAATTAAAATGGTGTGAAATTACAAGCCATCCTGTAAGCTTACAAATACAGAAAAAATGCTATAAGGCTTCTGATATGAAGCTTGCAGTGGACAAGGTAGTTGGAATGCTCAATGGCCTGCCTGTTCATGGATACGGTAATATCACATCAATAATACGGTAATTAATGTATATGGTAATATCATATCAATAAAGGAAAAACGGGTAAAAATCACAGAAAATGTCATTTATTCTACCTCTACATCATCTACAATGAAAGAGGAGGACTTCAGAGTACTGCTAGTAATAGATGAATACACTCTGCATGCTTCAAATGTTTTAAAATTAAGTTTTATTGCAAGTGTCCCGGATTACCCCATTCCCAGGGTAATTTGGGATGCTTTTATTTTGCGTCTGGCGCCTCATGTACAGCATATGAAATTTTTTTGGAGATGTCATTCAACGGCTCTTGCAAAGATCTTTAAAATGAGCCCAAATTCATTGCTGAAATGTTTCATGGTAAGAAGTTATTAACAAAAAACGCTCAAAACCGTCCCTTTTTACCCCGTTTGACGTTATATGAACTCATTCAGGCAATGCAATTGGGGAACAAAAACTGTGACAATAAACAAAAACAATAGTGTGACAAAACATACGTAGATATTCCGCCTAAATCTGTTGTTGGGTGCTAAAGCCCAATTCCATTGCAAGCAGGAAAATTAGTACATTTGTCAGGGAAATGAAAATTCCAGTTGGGGGCTGATGCAAAACTGCAGACAGAGACAGTAAACTTGTTTAACAAAGAAGACCACACTTGGTTAGGAAAAAATCCTAATACATATTAAAGAAATGCAATTGAAAGCTACCTATAGTCAAATGAAACATGCAAGTTAAGGTACAAGAAAAAGTTCATGATGTTTGCAATGTTTTTTATGTAACATTTTTTATATACAGATTTCTATCAAAGCTATTTTTTTATCAAATTTGAAGTATTATTTCTAAGTGATATTTGGTAGACACTTTGGTTGATAGTCAGAAAATAATATTTTTTTTCCTATAATTTGGTTTCTTGTGTGAAATGCACAACTGGTTGAAAAGGCATGCATCAGTATTTTTGGATATTGCCTTGCTCATATTGCTGTTAAATTTCTTTAAATTGGATTGATCATCAGGCATAAGGATATTATTCCTGCTCAAATGCAATCCTCCGTAGCACAGTTTGTTCAAATAGGTATAGCATGGTAAAAATTTTTTTTGGCTGTTTGTCTCTTCAAGTGAAAGATACTTCAAAGACTACCTTTTGAGGAATCTGGGGTTGCATCAGGATAACCAATTTCTGGAAATAACATGAATTATGTTACAGTAGAAAATTCCATAAAAAAATGTTCCACTTTTGGATAAAATTCCACTGTTGGTACAGTTTTTTTCAGTGCAATTGTACTGAAAAAATGCATAACTTCTACGCAATGCATACGTAACTTCTATGTTAGACTGGTAAACACCAGGTTAGTTTTATATTGTTTTGGAAATCTCCCTCTTCATCCATAATATTCAGCTGTATTAATAAATTCTAAATTTAAGACTCCACTGCCAGTGTTTCGGATTTAAGGATTTTGGAATCATCACATGTTTTAAAATGAAAATAGAAGTTTAGGAGCAAAGAAAATTCCACGAAAATTCACCATTTCTTTATTGAAAACGTTTTTGAATCCACTGAAAACGCTTTGGAATCCAGCTCTGTTGTCAGTTCCAAAAATCTAGAACACAAATACAATCAAAAGTTAATAGAGTTGAAATTCAACAGTAAAAAGTACAGAAGTTAAAATCTAAATTTACAAACAACGGACGGAGTAAAGTAAAAACCTATTTATTCACAATTTCTAGTGGATATGAGCAAAAAGCTGCATTTAAACTAGGCCTTGTAATAATTGTAGGTACATCTTCTTTAAAAATATACAATTATTCTAAAATATGCAGATTGAAAGCACAAAAACGAAAAGTTAAAACCTCAAAGTCCCTGTTGGACACTGGAACGTTGCACTGTTTGGCATGAGTGCACACAGCCCAATAAGGCTGGCATGATAGTAACTGCCCATTCCAATTACTGAATATATATTACTATATGTTTTAATTAAAATGGTACATTGTCTTCTACAATTCTTCTAGTTCATAAACAATAAATATTGATATTGAAGTGTTGTTTTTTCAAGTACTCATGATATTATGTTGTCATTTTTTTCAGCATAGAGTGTCTATTGGAGCGTGAGGAGGGAGGTGGTGTCAGTGGTGAGCGTCCAGAGGGGCCAAGTGTTGCTGTCAATGCATCTCTTCATCCAGTATACAGCATGGTATCCTCCCCAGCCTTTGCCATCACAGGATCTTCTGGCTCTTTGGCTGTAAGTAATAATCCTATTACCGGTACTTATTTTTTTTTGGAGAGAGAAAGATTATTTTGAATTTTAAATTCCTCAGCCTCACTTAGTATTTCATGCTTTCAATTGAAATTGTAATTGGCTTGTGATTTGCTTTTTTATGAACTTTAAAAAAATTCTTTAGGATCTCTACATGAATTCTTGAAAAAATTTGAATTTACCTAAATTTTTTATCAACTCCAGAGCTACCGTATCTATATACGGCTTAGTGATGCTAGTTAACATTATTGCCCAAGTTGTGTAGTCCAAATTTTGTGCTCCAGAGTTGAGTTTGAATGGCAGGCAATTTAGATTATGGTTTATGTTTACAGGGCTGGAGATGGAGTGACCTAAAGGAACTGGATGAAGCTGTCTCACCAGCATGGACCATAGCCCTTCAGGGTGATCAATCCAACTTTGGGGTATGTTTGTGTAATAATAATTTTGTCATTCTTTGGAATTGTAGACTTGCTCAAGTTTAAATGCTCAAAACGCTATGATAATCATCATAATTTACTAACTAAATTTTGTTATATTATGCACACCATAATATGTCAAGTTCCAAAAGCAAAACACACTTTGTCCTCCAAATTGTTATTGACTTTTTGCCTCATGTTCCAGACTCCAGAAATCAATGGCTTATCGTACAATGCCGAGTCCAACTTAATATGGGCAGCATGTGGTGACTGGAAGGCCCGAGGATATGACATGGAGACAGGCAGACTTATTTCCACTCTTGATGCTCACAAGGATTATGTACATCAAGTTGCTGTCAGGTGAGCCATGTGCAATAAATATTCATGAGTACTTTTCATTGATGCTAGTCTTAGTTTGTAATACTACCATCTATCATTCAATACTAATTTTTATGATAATTAATGCTTATTTTGTGTCATGTTTCTCAGTGGGAGCAGTGGCGTAGTGTCATGTGGTGAAGATGGTGCTGTTCTTGTATGGGATTGCCGGGCGCCCAGGGTGCCAGTCATGACAATTGTTCCTTCACAGCAGACCTCTCTGGCCAGACCGAATCTGGGCAAGGTTAGGCATGTCTACCATTGATTATACATTTATTTTTCACGATGTTTTTTTGACCATCAATTATGTATCCTTCTTATTCTTTTATGTCGATATTGTGAAAGTTAATTCAAGTATACTTTCCATTCCTGATAGATTCTAAGTTAATTCTTTGTACATATAGGGAACGCTCAATATAATTTTGATCTCTCATTTTTGCTTAGCAGCCATGTCAGTTTTCTAAAAGTGAGGATTCTTGAATCTATTAAGTAGCTCGAGTGGGTCGGAACATATTTTTTTTTGCTGCATATCTGCAAGAGTACACAGCGAGTAGAGAATAACTATTAGAAAATGCTCCCAATAATCACTCAAGTAAATCATTTCTTAATGTCGCATTGAGCCGTTTGGCTGTTGCTCTAATAGTATGAAATATTTATAAGATTGGATATTATATTAAATTTTCTGAAAGGATATTTGCATTTCCTACATCCCCGATTAGCAGTTTGTGTCTCTTTTGGGCTGTAATGCCTGAATCTTTTGAGTTTCTACCCTGCCTTGAATATTTCACTTCTCGTACAGTTTGTGCGTTGCGTGGACACCGCTGGTGGCGAGTGGCTTGTGTGTGGTGGTGGCCCTTCCGCTGGCGTCTTCCACCTGCGCTCAGGCGGCCTCGTGGCGACCCTGCCGCCCAGCGACGCCCTCACGCCCGTCACCGTCGCTCAGTTTACCAGACAAGACCAGGCCTCCAGTATCGTTACGGCAGGTCGCGGTGCACAGCTTCAGAAACTCCTATGTAGTTTTTTTGAACAAGATTCAAAACTTAGAATATGATCATTTGAAATTTGATGAAACTCTATAGTTTTAACTTTCTTAATTGGTGTGGAACGCATAAAAATAATTCCCATCTTAGATTACTAGATATTTAGATGGTGAAGAACTGAAATAGTTGCAATTATCAAATGCTATTTGATTTAAATTGGAATATAAAATTGCAAATTGAGAGGCGGCTCTTTTCAATACCTCTGCCTGGACGTTCAGGATGCGATGGTGGTGGCGTGAGCGTGTGCAGTTTGTCCGGCCAGGTGACGGCACAGCTCCCTGCCGTCGCCCGATGTGTCTACTCCGTCGCCGCCTCCTTCGACAAACACACTGTGGGTGCCTTAGTTTCCATAGTTTCCTTAGTATTTGTTTGGGACGTAGCTGTCCCAGGCCACGATGGATTGCCGCCTTTGATTGTGGCGTGGAGATGAGGATGCGCCGTTTATGCTGTCTCTGTGTGGTGTTATTTGGTGAATGAATACATTGATGATGCACCGTGGGTGCCTCTTTTGTGTGATGTCTAGTTGTGGATGAATAGAGTGATGACATAACCCCATGGCTGCTGTCTTTGTGTGGCGAGGAGTGATGGATGAATGAGTGATGATGTGCTGTGTGTGCCGCCTTTGTGAGGTGTGGTGTAACTTTTAAAGTATTTTAGAACTCGTCTTCCTGTATCGAGTAATTGCCAAGAGTAGAGAATATTTTCATTTGCGATATTTTGTGTAGTTTTGATTTTTATGCATTTGAGCCGGCCATCTTTCATAGAACTTTGTCTCCATTAAAATTTCTAACTTTGCTGTATCATAAAAAAATTGTTCAATATAATATTTCTATTTAACAGCTGATGAGCGTTGCTGGGACGGGGAGTAGAATCGACATCTGCTTGAACCTGAGCTACAGAGACCACTCGCTCAGCACCGTCTTGGACTGAGCGCCTATTATGTCGTTAATATTACCGCCATATTTTGAACCCCTTGATGAGATCAGCGACCAAGCAAGCGATAATTTCTGCTGTATCCTCGTGGCTTATCCAATGAGGCTGGAATGAGGAATCTGTGATATGCTTTCGTAATGGAACCCAGCCTTACATTTTAATTTAAAATTTTCAATCAATTTTTAATTTAATATTATTCAAGCGAAAGTCTTCTGATGAATGTGAATGGTGGTTCATCATTGAATAACAATTTTTGAACGAATCAAGGTAGGATGCGCCTAAATACAGAACGCTGAAATTTAAGATTCTAACCTCACAACTTCAAGGCTTGTGGCTACGTTCACTAGTCACAGTTTCATGTGTTACCAGGGCTAGATCTAGTTTTTGAGATAAAAAAAACATCATACTTTGCTCATATTTTTTTTTACAAATGTCGATGGTGACAGTCCGAACTGCAACTAATGCGAGACTCTCGATTAATAAACATACTATAACAATTGTTTTTGTTATTTCGATTTTGTTATTTCGAATTGTTTTTGTTATTTCTGCGAAAGCAGAGGTAAAAACGAATCTAAGTGATGACTAGCGCGAAGAATTATTAAATAGATGACTTCTGCTATTGGTAACTTGTAGTAGTACGCCAACCACAGTAGTTCTCTAAAATATATCACAAACGCACACATCTTAACATACTTTCATACGCGGCTTGATTAACAATCCTCTTAATGCCTCTGAGTTGTGAATTTAACAGAATTATCCGAAAGTCGTCTCATTAACTATTCATTAACCAGTTTAACTTTTGGCATATTCGTTTTGCTCGTCAACAATGGATGTTCTTTTCGTAAGAAAATTTTCTGATTGAAATAAAAAATCATTAGCGTGTTGGAAATTTCCATCTTCGATGCGTTTGTAAAAATTATGGATGATTATTTGTGAATTAATTTGAAAATATTGATGCAGCAGAACCTATTGCAGAGGACGCTGTAGTGTAGTGGAAAAGCGTGAAATTCAACTATAGTTTTGGTTTTTCCAATTCACACGGGGTAAATAAGCCGCATTCTGTGGTTCTTATTGTTTATATTGAAATTAAAAATCAGCAAATAAATTTGCTTCCTTTCTAATGATCGTTGCAGTCTGATTATGATACTAAAAGCACCAGTACAAAGTCAGGACAACGACTAGACTAACACTACAAGTCTATCCCGACCTCTCATGGCCTGAAGCCTAAAGCTTGTAATCTCACGTTGCGCAGTAATTACCTCGACATTTAACAAAAAAAGCCACTAGAAGGTTGAAACATCGGGGTTTGGCGGTTGAAACATCGGGGCTTTTTCCCGGTGTTCGCCGCTCACAGTGGCTAAGAGTAGACATAATAGGAGTGCGATTGATTGAAGTAAGCGTCTGGGCTTGTTGCCAGAAACGTCACTCAAGCCACGAAGACTGAAATAGAAGTACTGCCCTCGGCAGTCCAAGCTTCGAGGCTTGTATAAATAGAACTCGAATTTGCTGAATTGATAGAATTAAGGCATCCTGGAAACTGCACGGACTGTCGCTAAATTCTGAGAGCACGTGACTTCAAGAAACTTTCACCAACCGCAGACACTACGGGACTAAACATTTCTCGTCGCACATTTCATTTCACCTACGTGTTGCATGGGAGTCGATACAGTGGTTCGCAGAATCTCAGAGGTTCGTAGTCAGTAATAACTTCATGAGCGCGTTTGTAAGAGTTCAGAAATAAGATCCAACAACTGCTTCCTTCGTCTTTCTTGCTGCTGCCACCAGCGCGGTTGTCTATTCTCTCTTCCTGGACGAGGTGGTTGCGAGGTTGAGAGAGTAGTTGGAACAGCCGTCGTGGTTTCCACTCGAGCCGTACTGGCTGTGGTGAATGTCCCGAGGTTATTCAAAGAATGAATATCCACACGATCATTTTCTGGATCGTGTTGACTGTTTAGCGTCCTATCCTGACGGCGAGGCGGTGCGAGGTGGTCGAGCACGCGGTCGCGACCACTCAAAAAAATAAAGTCACGTCGCCCCTGATGCGGTCGAGTCGTCGGTGTCATTCGATTGCCAGATAAGGGGAGTGGATGGATCTTATTCAAGTCGCTGCTAGAAATATTCCATTGCCGACTTCCATTCTGTTTAATGATAACTGAGTTACATGGAACAGACCACGGGAAATCGAGAGAAATTTATTTTAGAATGTCATAATATAAAAGTAAACTGAAAGACACTTATTGAATAGCCCATGTAAAAGTACGGCAGATATTTAGTGATATAAGTCATGATATAGGCAATCTATCTATTGCAAATTCTACTCACTTTTGGCACTCAAATTGTTTTGTATGGACAACATTGGATTTGAGTTGGACAACATTACTCTAAAATGCCTAATTTTCAATTGCAAAATATTAAACTTTCATTTAAAATTTCATAATTACCTTACAACACAATAAATTTAATGATGGTAGAATTCTAGTAGGTTTGTCACAATGTGCCCACAATAATTAAAACTCATTACAATACACGTTTATAACTCGCGACACGAGACACATCAACGAGGAACACAGAGCAAGTGGCACAGAAGCATGATTTGGGCAATACACTGTACAGATTCATGAAGGAATAAGATAAACACAATACATTAACAAGACTTCGAAATGCGCATGCTAATGCCGTACAATGTATATGATTCCTAGATACGATCAATAAGTTGCATGCAACATAACACTGGCAACGAGTTGCATGCAACACAATAAGGACTACGAGTTGAATGCAACAGAACATGGACTCCGAGTTGAATGTAACACATCACTGGCAACGAGTTGCATGCAACAAAACATTGGCAACGAGTTGCACGNTGAAGGAATAAGATAAACACAATACATTAACAAGACTTCGAAATGCGCATGCTAATGCCGTACAATGTATATGATTCATACATACGATCAATAAGTTGCATGCAACACAACGCTTGAAAAGAGTTGAATGCAACACAACATGGACTCCGAGTTGAATGTAACACATCACTGGCAACGAGTTGCACGTAGCACAACACTGGCAACGAGTTGCATGCAACACAATGAAGACTAAGAGTTGAATGCAACACAACACTGACAACGAGTTGCACGTAACACAATACTGACAACGAGTTGCATGCAACACAATAAAGACTACGAGTTGAATGCAACACAGCACTAGGAACGAGTTGCACGTAGCACAACACCGGCAACGAGTTGCATGCAACATGACACCGGCAACGAGTTGCACGTAGCACAACACGGGCAACGAGTTGCATGCAACACAATGAAGACTACGAGTTGAATGCAACACAATACTGGCAAGTGGCAACGAGTTGCATGCAACATGACACCGGCAACGGGTTGCACGCAACACAACGTGCGCTTCACTCAGAGAGCGTCTTGACGAGCAGCACCCACTGGCTTGACGGCCCTCCTGACGGCGGTGTGGATGACGTCGGGGGCGATGCGTTCCATCTCTGCTGTTATCCAACTGCAGCGCCACAAGATAAAGATTATTTGTATATATATATTTTAAATTTAATCATCATTAATACACTACCAGAGGTGGGCAGTAGCGCGCTACATGTAGCGGCCGCTACATTTTCATTAGCGGTAGCGGCGCTACATTTAAGCAATTGTAGCGGTAGCGGTAGCGCCCGCTAAATTTAGAGCATGTCGCGGTAGGGGTAGCGGCCGTTACATTTCAAAGTAGCGCTGCCCAGCTCTGTACACTACGTACGCAATTCATTGCTGAACATATGAACTACCAGTACGGTAATGATGGCTCTGATCGAATATGACTTCACTCATCAACATGAATGACGATGAGAGCACTCTTGTATGTTGAAGTAAAATCATAAGTAAGAAGGAATCACAACTATTATTTTCGTAATCTGTTTAAAATACATAGAAATGGCATTACACGCTATAATGTTAGCGACAACTGCCTCGACTATGAGAAAATTCAACAAACACCATGTAGTCGCGTTAGATTTGATACAAAGAACGCACAACTGTACAGTGTACCCGAGTGTTGGTTAGCAGCTGAATATTCGAAAGATCAAACAATAAGAGTAAAAATTAAAGAATTTTAAAGTACCTGATTGGCAGGATGATTATTTGCATATTTCATTCAAAGATGAGTCCTAAATCAGCTAACGATAGTCGTACGGAAATTAGTTGTAGGTTCTAGACTCCCAAATATCGTCACGACTAACCTAAAAACTAAACGAATCAATGCAAAATATCAGCAAAATAACGATACAATCAATCGAGGTATATTATTGCCAGCAATATCAATCAATTTCTAGGTACTGAAATTAGTACTTAAGATCACTTGAATCCTCTAATCCTATTTATCGAATTTATCAGGAATTTGAAAGTACGGAAAATGGTCCTAAAATTCACAATATTTGTATAGGGAAAATCTTTCAAACAGACGATGGGGATCGTTTTCATCATAAAGATATGGTATGGTAAATTTTTGTTCATTTTCAAGCAGACGACGAGGCTGGACTCCAGGGGCCATAGGCTACTTTCAAAACTCGCTAAGTGAACGTAAGTACTTACGCTCTATTTTCTTATCTATGATTGGTGGATTTTGTTTGAAAGGCCGTCAATGATTGGCTGATGAACTTACGATCTCTTAACTTTTTTTGAAAGTATGGTCCTGCGCAGTGCCAGAACGTTTTATTTACAAAGTTATTGGAAATTTCGGGCAATTTTCTTTGCATCCAAATTCGAGGTAAAGTAGTTATACCTGCGGTCGGCGATGGTGCTGGCGTAGACTCCTGGGACGCCCTGGTCCCCGCAGCCGATGCCCCACGCGGTGATGCCCACAAGCAGGTACTCGTTGGGGGCGCCGCGCCGGGGGCAGGCCAGGGGGCCTCCACCATCACTCTTGTGGGGCAGCAAGGTATATTATAATTACCATCAAGACAAATACCAGTTACCATCAAGGTAAATACCAGTTACCAACAAGACAAATACCAGTTACCATAAAGACAAATACCAGTTGCCATCAAGGCAAATACCAGTTACCATCAAGGTAAATACCAGTTACCAACAAGACAAATACCAGTTACCATAAAGACAAATACCAGTTACCATCAAGGCAAATACCAGTTACCATCAAGGTAAATACCAGTTACCAACAAGACAAATACCAGTTCCCATAAAGACAAATACCAGTTACCATCAAGGCAAATACCAGTTACCATCAAGGCAAATATAACTTGCTGAGTCAAGGCAATATTCTAAACAGAAAAGTGAATTGTTCACTGCCCAAATAATGATGCATTTCCTCACCTACAACACTAGAGGAGAGCGGGCGTAGCTCTGATATGCCTTTTTGTCGTGCCAAGCTGGGTCTGGATGATCCAATAAAAAGTGCTTTTTATTCTGGACAATGTTTCACTTTTTGTCCTGAGTGTTAGATGCATTTAAACATGGAATTTTAGGTGAGTGCAACAATAATGTGAGAAAACTGCATCACATTGAATAAATCCCAAATTTAGGGCTTTATGACGGTGTAAGATCATGACAGGTTACAAGCAAGTTAGGCACAGCGCGCCAAAGTACCTAAAGTGAATAGTTATATTGCTGGAATGAAAGTTTGTTTTGATTTCCGCCTTAATATGAGGTTTGAAATTCCTAATTTAGATTAACTTTAAATATCAAGACGAAAACGATAGGTGCTGATTGAACGATGATTCGGAATTAAAATCGTACCGCGTGTGCTACGTGTCGTGCAATAACTTACCGTGTATGCTACGTGTCGTGCCATAACTTACCGTGCAGGCTACGTGTGGTGCCATAACTTACCGTGCAGGCTAAGTGCGGTGCCATAACTTACCGTGCAGGCCACGTGTCGTGCCATAACTTACCGTGTATGCCACGTGTCGTGCCATAACTTACCGTGCAGGCTACGTGTGGTGCCATAACTTACCGTGCAGGCCACGTGTCGTGCCATAACTTACTGTGCAGGCTACGTGTCGTGCCATCACTTACCGTGCAGGCTCCGTGTCGTACCATCACTTACCGTGCAGGCGTCTTTGCCGAGTTCGCCGCCCGCGCAGATGAAGGAAGAGTGCAGCTCAAACCAATAGCCCAGTCGCGTTTCACGCAGGAGCGACTGTGAAAAAACGTTTACCATTTAATTAGTATAATGACAATAAATATCATTGTCGCGATTAATATAACCGGAGCGTTCATGATTTCAGTAGAAAAGCATTATGCAAAGTTCTGCTGATTTTCTCCGAACACAACTCATTTCTAATTATATACAAATGTTTTATTCCCCAAGCATTGCTATTAAATTTACATCAATATTGTTTGAAATTAAGGTTCTTAATAGGTAATCAAACATGCGAGCAACAATTTAAATGAGCTCGAGTTGCCATTTATGGAGGTCGTGTGTCACGCTGCATGAGGCAGATCTTAAGATCCACACAGGTCGAGTGCTACGCTGCATGAGGCAGATCTTAAGATCCCCATTGGTAACAACATCTCACATGTGAGCGCCCTAATGATCACGCTGATGCCCCGCTTTCTACTCCTAGGTCCCAATATAATTCCGGGCGACATCAAAGAGAATACCCAATCGCAACTTAGGTCTAGAACCTCTGACTCAGCTGCTTTTATGTCGGTGCAACTTGTGCACCGACACTGTGTTTGTGATAGTATTAGGCTGTGCAAAATACAGTCAACGACAAAGTTTGTGCATGTTTGAGTGTCAACGAACGCACCTGACAACGGTTGTGTGCCACCAGAGGCAGCGTCAAGCTCTTCATCACAGTTTGGTAGCTCCCACCCTCTGAAAAGTGATGGTCATGAATCTAAAAACGAAATAAGCGAGTCATATACTTTCATTACTAAATCTAATTTTTTACTGGAATTTAAATAAAAATTGTTTCTTCTCACAAATCATTGAGATCACGAATTTATTGACCTCTCTTATAAATCACATCATCACAGTATCCCACAATCCAGCGAGACGTTTCGCAACTCATTACACAGAAGAATGCAGTCCCTACTATCTACTTACATAAGGTAAAACAAAACACTCTCACTCTATACATAAACATATAAAGACACAATCAACACGGTAACACACATAAAATACCAACAAATGAAATACAATACCTCACTTATAACCCAATCGAGCTACATGCAGTACCTAGCATCCAAAACTACCGTAACCTACGTAATAGCTCCCAATCTTTCATCGGCGCTACACGGTACACCTAAAATACAGGCTCATTCTAAATGATAAACTCGGTTTAACGAATTAGTATTTATTAAAGAATAAATTTACATGAATAATATATACACAAATAGAAGGAGAAAGATCCAAAGTTTTTTTTACATATTTATAAATGCTGCACGGCAAACATCTAAACGGTAGCCAATGTAAACAGAGTTGCTGGTAGAGGCGGGACGTAAACAACTTCCTTGACGTAACCACATAAGAAATAGTCACATGAGATCAGGTGATCTCGGTGGCCAGCTGTTAACTTCGATCCGACGGGACGATCCTCAATATCTGGAATACTGTTCAAGTCCTCATCTGTGAACGCATTGCTAAACAGAAGTGTAGAGCCAGATCTTCATTTCATATGCGTCCAACCCAACGCTCAGGAAGTGACTGAATAACCATTTAGATGTTTGCCATGCAGCACAAGGGGGAAATATTGAACATTTATAAATATGTACAAAAAAACTTTTAATCTTTCTCTTTCCACTGGTGAGTATATTACTTATTTTAAATTCATACCTAAACAAATACTAATAAAATTGGGTCCATCAATTAGATTTTAGAATAACCTTATACTACTCCTTATACTTAAAAATTAAAAATTAAAAATCAAACAAAATGAAAAAAAACTAAATCATATCTTCATCGCTTTCAGATCCAACATACACGAACCTCATTATAACCTTCTAACATTAAAACCTCTCTCTTGATATCATAACCAGCCGCCAGTAATGACCGAGATTGAAAATAATTTTTCGAAGTTCTTGTGATTTTCTCAGAATGCAACAGAATTCAATTTATGTGCAAATGTTTTAACTAGATTGTAAATAAATATTTTTGAACCTCATTTATTCATTAATCGTCTTATGCAATATCTCTCGCCATGCAGATCTTACCGAAGCTGTTCTTCCCCCAGCCGTTGATGACGCAGGCGTTGGTTTGGACGTCATTCAGCGACCGCGCCAGGCAGATGCTCCTGACGTGTGCTTGCAGTGTCACCGGCGTCTGCAATGTTATCGAAAAATATTTGAATGAATAAATTAAGGGCATACGGATAGATTGAGGGTAAAAAAATATTATGGAAGATGTTTGACACAACGCCAGTTGTCATACTCGTAGGCCTATATGTTGTTGGAATTTAAAGACAATATGATGGTATTTGTTTAACTATCGATTTTATAAAGTCTAGATATGATTCTTCATTAGTTATTATGAGCCAGCATTTGATGTAGCTGTTTTCGTTGACGAGAGCTAAGTAAAACTTTATTCTCAATCTGTGAGATTATATATAGATGGACAATTTTTTGTTGCTTCGTTTAAGAAATTATGGTGGGTGTTCTTTCTAGAATTAATTATATTTTCTAGAATTAATTCGAAAATTGCAATGTAGCTGCAATAAGTAAATGAAAATTTATGCTAAATCGTTGCCAATGAAACCGAGTTCGTTGCCACGAGCACGAACCTTGAATCACGGAGAAAAATAATTTCGCACACACAGTAAATTGGAACTTGCGATATAATTAACTTGTTTTGTAATTGAATCTTGTGTCAAATTATTTAGACCATACCATTTCAAAAGTCGCTTAAGTACCCGTAGCGTCTTATTTGAGGGTTTAGCTTGAACACATCCAGCACCACAAGGGCCACGTCGTGCTGCAGGTTCTTATACTCACCGCCAGCACCACAAGGGCCACGTCGTGCTGCAGGTTCTTATACTCACTGCCAGCACCACAAGGGCCACGTCGTGCTGCAGGTTCTTACACTCACTGCCAGCACCACAAGGGCCACGTCGTGCTGCAGGTTCTTGTACTCACTGCCAGCACCACAAGGGCCACGTCGTGCTGCAGGTTCTTGTACTCACTGCCAGCACCACAAGGGCCACGTCGTGCTGCAGGTTCTTATACTCACAGCCAGCACCACAAGGGCCACGTCGTGCTGCAGGTTCTTGTACTCACTGCCAGCACCACAAGGGCCACGACGTGCTGCAGGTTCTTATACTCACCGCCAGCACCACAGGGGCCACGTCGTGCTGCAGGTTCTTATACTCACTGCCAGCACCACAGGGGCCACGTCGTGCTGCAGGTTCTTATACTCACCGCCAGCACCACAAGGGCCACGTCGTGCTGCAGGTTCTTGTCGTTGAAGAGCGGGTGCAGAACGATGCTCTCGACGGCGCGTCCCTGGTGCTGGCCGGGCTCGAAGTCTGTCTCGATGTCCCACTCGCCCACGCGCACGTGAAGATTAGTTACGTTCTCCCTGGCGAATTTATATCGTACAATCGAAGCTTTGAATAATACAGCTATGGTTGTTAATCGGCATTAATTTTGGGTTTGATTGTAATAAAATTGCATGATATAATTATTAGTTACATTCAAATTATAACTTATATTAGTTATAAGTTACATAGAAAATAAAGTTGTAAATCTTGATAATTTAATTATTTTAAGACATTTAAAATTCTGATGCAATAAAATGTGAGGTTATAGTACAAGAGATAGATACGTTACCGCAGACATCGTCCATATGCCATTCCTCTATTTTTAATTGTTGAGTTTTCGGTAGGAGTTTGTCCATACGAGCGCTATTGAAAAATAAAGCAATACATTTACAATTTTTTTAATTTCTCCAGATTTTTCAAACGGTGTTTCCTAAATATTAGAGTATGAACAACGAATTACAAATTCAATTGTTCTAATTTCGCTCAAATTTCCAATATATATTAAGTTTTTGGTTTTATACAGGATATATTCGATCCGAAATTTCAGATCTCGAAAAACCAGGCGTTCGTGATATTCTGCGTTTGTGCAATAAATATATTGAGAAATGTTGAAATAATAGGTATATATTTTCGCAAAATACTTCATAAATAATATCAACGTGTTTTTTTAAATATTTCATGAATACCGGTACTTCAAAATTTTTGATGAATAATATATATTTTTTCTAATTCATGGTCTTGGGCTGGAAGCTGATGGGTCGTTGATTGATGAAGTCTGAGGCTGCTTACTTGTTATCTATATTGAAAGTGTCAAACAAGGTGATATTCCATAACTAAAGTCCTTATTCAATTGTGTTAATGGTGGATTGAGGTCGACAACAGCAACATAAAACTCAACATTAATTTATGAGAAATATTTAGCTTTTGCGATCATATCTCGTCACTAAAATATATTTGATTTTGAAGAATGGTTGTTCACCAATATTTTAATTTGTTACTCTAAGTTGTTCATCTAAGTTAAATTGAAAAATTCATGAACAACGCGTAGGATAACGCTACCATTATTATTATTATTATTTCCGATTGTTCGATTATGATTCACATTAAGGCCTTTTAATTAAGACAAATGTCCAGACTCGACAGGGACACGGTTGTATGCTTCACGCTGAGCTGTTACCAGTAACACGCAGGTCTGGAACGGCTGGTCGAATTGTAATGTATTTGTTAACGCAAGAAGTTCTTAGTTACCCCTGTGCCTGCTGTTGGGGCTGCGAAAATAAAGCTGCAGGGCTGAATGAATTTGTTTTTGTTGCAATTGCATTTTACTGCAGCGTATATCTTGCTTCTAACTATCCTACTTTGTTAATTTTTTTTATCAAAGATACAAAAGACTGTTTATTATTTTCTCAATTTCAGCGTCACGGAATCATCTTCTCTAAATAGACATCGAGACGAGACTGGAAGTGTTCCACAAAGAAGTAACGAGACAAAGCAAAAAATTCACAATAAGTTATAAATAGGACAATAATTATTTCCTGCTATGTTACAAGGACGGATAGAAGTTGCTAGTTTTCAATTGACTGGCAGTTTGAATATTTATTTAATAAATATTTTTACCAACGATCGCCTAATCCCTTGTTGACAAAATGTATTTACTAAACCCTGATGATGATTTGAAGCTTCGTGTGCATTAATAATAACTTACCTCGCCACTTGACTGTTAATTAAGCGTGCGCGAGGAGTGCTTGTTACGAATAAATTATTTGACGATCTTACAAATTCATGAAAAATACTGATATAAATATAGGTCCAGACTGAAACGTGTGGTTAACAATATACATGTGTATTTAAAATTGTCACAGTTCCAAATGTCTACCGTCAATCTATTCATTACATTTCAAGTGTAATCATTCCTCGTTTGAGGCGAGACGATTAGAAGTTACGTTCCATAGTTTACGCCAAGGACGAAGTTGTGGCGTGTAAACGTGTGGGAGCGCAGCGTGTAGAGCGTGTGGGAGCAGAGCGTGTAGAACGTGTAGGAGCAGAGCGTGTAGAATATGTGGGAGCAGAGCGTGTAGAGAATGTGGAAGCAGAGCGTGTAGAACGTGTGGGAGCAGAGCGTGTAGAATATGAGGGAGCAGAGCGTGTAGAACGTGTGGGAGCAGAGCGTGTAGAACAAGTGGGAGCAGAGCGTGTAGAGCGTGTGGGAACAGAGCGTGTAGAACGTGTGGGAGCAGAGCGTATAGAACGTGTGCGAGCAGAGCAAGTAGAACGTGTAGGAGCAGAGCGTGTAGAACGCGTGGGAGCAGAGCGTGTAGAACGTGTAGGAGCAGAGCGTGTAGAACGCGTGGGAGCAGAGCGTGTAGAACGTGTGGCAGCAGAGCGTGTAGAAAGTGTGGGAGCAGAGCGTGTAAAACGCGTGGGAGCAGAGCGTGTAGAACGTGTGGGAGCAGAGCGTGTATATAGCGTGTGGGAGCGGAGCGTGTATAGCGTGTGGAGGCTGAGCGTGTATATCGTGTGGGAGCGGAGCGTGTAGAACGTGTAGGAGCAGAGCGTGTAGAACGTGTGGGAGCAGAGCGAGTAGAACGTGTGGGAGCAGAGCGTGTAGAAAATGTGGGAGCAGAGCGTGTAGAACGTGTGGGAGCAGAGCGAGTAGAACGTGTGGGAGCAGAGCGTGTAGAAAATGTGGGAGCAGACCGTGTAGAACGCGTGGAAGCAGAGCGTGTAGAACATGTGGGAGCAGAGCGAGTAGAACGTGTGGGAGCAGAGCGTGTAGAAAGTGTGGGAGCAGAGCGTGTAGAGCGTGTGGGAGCAGAGCGAGTAGAACGTGTAGGAGCAGAACGTGTAGAACGTGTGGGAGCAGAACGTGTAGAACGTGTGGGAGCGGAGCGCGTATAGCGTGTGGGAGCGGAGCGTGTATAGCGTGTGGAAGCGGAGCGTGTATAGCGTGTGGGAGCGAAGCGTGTATATTGTGTGGGAGCGGAGCGTGTATATCGTGTGGGAGCGGAGCGTGTATAGCGTGTGGGAGCGGAGCGTGTATAGCGTGTGGGAGCGGAGCGTGTATAGCGTGTGGGAGCCGAACGTGTGGGAGCGGAGCGTGTAGAACGTGTGGGAGCGGAGCGTGTATAGCGTGTGGGAGCGGAGCGTGTATAGCGTGTGGGAGCCGAACGTGTGGGAGCGGAGCGTGTAGAAAGGGTGGGAGCGGAACGTTCCACGAAGTCGGATTGAAATTTCCGTGAAGCGTTACCCTGAGGCGTCTCAAGGATCGGGTCCAAAATCTAGACTACGCGAGCGCCTCGAGAAGCAACGCGAGCCTTTCAAACTTGAGCTAAAATTGTCATTATATGCTTAATTTTTGACAATTTTGAACTATTTACTTGTGAACGTTAGTCAACGTTAGCTGTTTTCGTGAACAGATTTGTTACTTGTCGAAGAACTTTAAGAGATATACCTATAATTTTGCCAGTATATGCCAGCGAAAAGAAGACTGATATTCGTGTACCACTTGTATGTATACTACTGTACTTGCTTGTAATCTACTGTACTTACCTGTATACTACTGTACTTACTTGTATACTACTGTACTTACTTGTATACTACTGTAATTACCTGTATACTACTGTACTTACTTGAACTGTACTGTACACACTTGTACTCTATTGCACTTACCTGTATACCACTGTACTTCCCTGTATACTACTGTACTTACTCGTGTACTAATGTATTTGTACTCTACTGTACTTACCTGCATACTACTGTACTTACCTGCATGCTACTGTGCTTACTCGTGTACTACTGTACTTACTCGTGTACTACTGTACTTACTTGTAGACTTTATGTGCTGCAGTGAGCATGATGCGCGGATGCACCAAGATGGCGCCCCCGATGAAGGCGTTCATGGGACTGTCGGCCACGAAGTATGTACGCAGGATCATGCCCACCCAAGGGAACTCCCCGAACTGGCTCTCACTGTTGTTGAAACCTGCGATGCGAACCTGCCAAACACATGGGAAAATAAATGGATTAAATATAATACTAGATTTCCATTGATATAAGATTTAAGCAAGCATGGAATGTTATTTAGTTAATTTCAATTAAAAATGTTGCTCTTGTATGAAGAATGATTCAATGAAGAATGCTTCATAGAGATGAAACATTTTCTTTTTTTATTACTGGAAAACTGATTCACAAAGGGAATGTGTATTGGAAAAGTAAATAAATATCTTTTCGACGAAAAGTGCTCGATAAAAATTAACAATATACATTTATTAGAAGACAAAAAATAATGAATTTACCAGCATCCCTCCGAAAACTAAATAAGCAGCATAAGGGCTTCGGCACCAGCAACACGCGCTTCAGAATATAGAAATAAATTTACAAGCTGATCGACGAGTATTATACGAATAAAGAAAATTGTTTATATTTGTAAGCACCTCATCTCTGGTAAATGAAGCTATAGCCGAAATAGTTTAGATGATTTCAATACAACGGCAAACTAACAAATTATCGACACCGGGTTGAGTCGAAAGAAAAAGCATATTTTAATAATTCATATAAATGAATATTTAGTACTTCTTCAGCATAATAAAATTTCATGTAACCAGTATGAATTGCAAAAAAATTATCAATTTGATCGGCTATGTGCAACGTTCCTGATCCAGTGTTCCCTGTTTTAAATGAAGCCAAATATGAACAATGGAACGAGTCAAGAAGAACGCATGTCGTATGGTTATAAATATTATTTTTACCGATATCCCTTGAGGGTTCCTCCTTCCTTCGCATTTTTGGTCGACGATTACAGGCGGGGGGGAGGGAGGCACCACCGGAGGTCCTGTTGTCGTTCCATCCAAATCAGCGGGTATCCTGCATGCCAGCATTGGCGAGACGCACGGCGGCGTCCTGGCGCTCGCTGCGAGGTTCCTGAGATCCAAACTGGCAGCCAATATGTTGCCATCCGCCCCGCATAACTCGGGATTCACGCAAATTAACCTGTTGGTGTCTGATGGAGGGGTTGATACTTCAGGTTCCGAGTCTAATGCACAACAAACTTGAAACGATCCCAGGCACCGAGCGTGGGCGGGAAGGGAGATGTTGCCGTCAAGGAATATTTTTGGCGCACTCCCGTCGCTGATTCGAAGTCCTTCCGGACAAAGTTCCCAGTGGAGACAATCACACGACCCCCCTTCGCCATCCACGGGAACAGGGTTTGGAGCAGGATTCTGACTCATGTCACAATTGGGCGGTGCCGATTTTGGCTTGCAGCAAAATTGTTGGTCGCCAGGGCAATTCTCAACATTAAAGACCCGGTTTCCAGCTCCGATCCTGGGACCGATCGCAGTCGAGCCATCAGTGACGATATTGTTGTCGGAGTCGCAGAGATAAAACGGGACGCACTCGCAACAAACTTTGCTCAAGTCCAGGGGGACGACGAGCGCTTCTGGGATGGCGTTACTGGACGTGGGCTCCGTCGCCGCCGGAGTGTCGAATTCTTCCCACCATGGACGACGCGACGTCTGGGCGGATGCGCCTCCAGTGAGCATAAACAACAGCACTAGCGCTAACATCATCACCATTTCTGAATGTTATAATTTCTGCCGCAATCGTTCTGTGAATGAAAGGCAATCCAGATCATAAGCTAAGTGAAATTAATTAGATAAACAAGTCAGAAGCATATGCAGTTTTTCTACTGCGACAAAAGTTTCCTAACTTGATTTTTTATTGAGAATAATAAAAAATACGTTGTACTACAAAGAGATACGTTACGTTGGCTGGTCTCCTTTTAATACGACAACTCGGACGAGAAGTCAGAAGAAGAAAAGACAATATTGTAAAGCAGTAATTATAAAATTAGCTCTTAACATAGAGACCGGTCTACCGAGACCCTCCAAGCTGGCTTGCTAAGAAGCACTGAGCGGCCGAACCAAACCCGGCGGCTTGTCTGGCATCAACGGGGCGTGACCCTTATGCCCCCTACTGGTTCATCTCCAAGCAGAAAAAGATTAAGAAGAAAGACTAAAATGAGCAAAACTAAAACAACAAAAAAAAGAGTACAATAAGAAAGACTATAATAAATCAGACTATGACCAATACTCAAGCACGTCACAAAGAACTTCAGGCTAATAATATAAACGCCGTGATGTTAAATGAAGAGTTACGGTAATTTTTTAGTAATTACAAAACTTACTTCTGCAGACCAACAAATTTATTTGTGTTCATAAGAATTAATAAGGTAAATATTAATAAGGTTAAAATTAATAATTTTTATTCGATTAGTTCGTCGATCATTTAATTTCTAATAAGATTAAGTATTAAGAGTTTGGTTGAAGATTTGAGTTCACCAATCGCTCGATTATAAGCGTTTGTATGGGGCTTAGCAGATAAGTACCAAATGGAGTTTTATATGACCATCACTGTAGACTTGAGCCAATAGTACTTAATGATGCTCTAGTGTTTTTGCCTAAACTTGCTTTGATTTGGATTATTTTAATTGATTACATGCGCTGCGGTAATTGTGAAGACGCCAAGCATCAATAACTCTATTCATAATGTATATCAAATATTGTAGCCTTCTGCAGCAGAATAATATGCAATTATTGCAGAAGTAAATGCAATAATTCTGTAAAGCTACGATTCTATTGAAAAATTAACGGAACTTCAGGCAGTTTGTACGGTTGCTTGCGAAAACAAACTGACAATGATGTTGCTTGCATAGACGAGCACTGAGGCCACATCCCGTATATGACGTCGTTTGTACGCCCACATCCCGTATGAGGCCCCGTATGACGCCGTTCTTTATGTCCTGTAAGGCCAAGCGTCCCGTGTGAGGCCAAACGTCCCGTGTGAGGCCAAGCGCAAGCCTCCTCTGCACTTCCAAGCAAGATATGAGAGTGCAAACCAATGCTGAAGTGCAGCTCATGTAACTGGGCGTACTTCCGATGATAAGGAATATTAACGGGAATTTTGATTAGGTTCATCCTAGAATTGCCTCCTGTCACCAGGTCGAATCTAAAATGAATGACATGCATAAGTATTTGAGTCACACTAATTTTTCTGGTATTTTTTGTTTATTTCATTAAAAAATTAGATGAATGCTGGACACACGCGAGACACACCATTCACCTTCAGACACAGCAAGTCAACAACTGTTGAGTCGGGAAGTATACACCTAGTAAGCTTTATTTCCAAGAAAGATTTCCGCTCAGTCTAACACCGGGCTTCCCGACACGGCCGGAAAACGGATAGCATCAAACATGAGTGGCCTAAGCCGTGTAGATAAAGACTCGTTTTTCTCTGAGCTGATTGACAAAGTCGTGTTTAGGATGTTATTGATGACACAAAACACTTGCACACGCAAAGTATTGTTTGTGTAAGGAATAATGGATGACAGAAAGCACTTGGATTCGCAAAGCCGTGTTTGGGAAATTTTAGATGACACGAGCTTATTATTTGATTATCAAGGTCGCGCATTGGGATTTATAGATGACACGAAACACATGTATCGGCAGGAATGTGCTTGGGAAATTTGAGATTGCCCAAAGTTCTTACTTGGATGGGCTAGGTCGTGTTGGGGTCTTATAGACGAAATAAAGCTACTGGATTGGCAAGGTCTTGTTTGGGGAATTATAGATGTTATAAAGTATTTGGCATGAGATCACTTGTATTCATCTAGAGAATAAAATTTCCGGGGAAAATCCCGTTCCCCGAGACACGAGTGGCTGGCAGGCCGTAGAGCCGCCAGTGGAGTCTCATAATGGACATCCTCCATTATCAATAATATATAGACTTACTTTGGCCGCAAATTAACGACTCGTAATGCGAGTAATCCAAGTTAGAAAACTTTTACTAATTATTTCTAAATAATTACTCAAACTGAACGTTTTTAGGGAACGTGATGCATATATAGGTATATCAAAAGTTGGGTTTACGTATCTTCTCCCGTAAGGTTTTAGGTCGCCTCAAACGTTACCGTATGTAGATATGCTATGTACTTTATTCATTGTTCTGTGATCGGCTGTACGTGTAAGTATTTGTTAACTTTATTAGGTGATCATTATTTAAATTATTAGTCTTTTATTTATTTGTGTTACGTTTTGCGTCGTATCCTGTTATGTTTGTGTTGTTTCAATGCATATCCACAATTTGCTAAGTATTTTATGTCATTTTAGAATGGCACCGAAGCTGAGACTAGATCAGGATTTAATAGACAAGGTTGTGGTTTGGAAGACAGCGTCTTATATTTTTGCACATGAAGTTTAATTATTATTTTGATTCTTATTTATAATTGTATTCATTATTACTGTAAATAGTTAGCCTTACGATCATGCAGGGCGAGTTGGAATGTGCCGGCGACTCAAACGAAGTGGCATCTGTAACTTCATTTAGTGATTATTTACCTTCATTGTGTTTCTTCATCTCGTCTAGGATTGTACAAATATGTGACGGAAAGCTCTCGTATGCTCTTGAAAAGCTGATCAATATTTACATTTATAGTGAAACTGTCGTCTTCATCTATTAAAGCTTTTTTTACACTTATTTAAAGCTGAATGTTTTCTGTTGAAACCTAAACAACCCAAGTTGAAAAATTATTTCACGATGTATACATGTTAAAACATGTATACGCTTGATGCTGGATGAAGTGGATGCATAAAAGTCATGCGTACAACAATATAGCGTTCCCAGTAGGGAGCTGTGAAGAATTATCTGTAGAAAGGCATGTCTGTTTTCGTCAGACAAGCTGCGCTGACTTTGCCTATACTCCGAACTAAACTCTCTTGCTCGTGAAAACATTCGTTGAACGATATTGACGGATGATATTTTCGTATTGGGACAATTCATTTCATAATCTCTTGAGTCGTCCAACGAATATGCACGATTTAATAATGATCACTTGTGGAAGGTTCTCGCTATTAACGGTCCTAATCTACCGACACGCGATGCATACTGTAAAAACTAATTAGATTTGCATCTTATGGCGGAGACGGAGACTCGTGTATTAGTCGAACAATTTTATTTGAAAGTACTTACAACCCGCAAGAAAACAAATAAATTGATTTAAAACAAACGGTTAATAATTGTCAAGTTATGCAAGGAGAGTTAAGAGGTATTCAGGAAACAAATAACTATGCAAATAATTAGAGATTTTCGCACACCAGCCTATGCTACTCATTACTGATTTCACGAGTTCAATATCACAAAAAAGTTTCCAGATAAATGAGAAGAATAACTAATAGAAATTTTTTTTTTCTCAGTCAAGATTAAACATGCAATTAATTTCAACAACAGAAGCAGCCAAGCACTGGTATAATAAGATAAAAATAGTATAATGCTAATTTCAACTTACAATTAAAACATTTTAAATTGCTTTACCAAACCAATGCCTAAATGCTAGAGAAACAATTATTATTACACTAGTAAGTCTTGCCAATCATCACCGTGGCAAACTTACTTATGCAGGACGACTGTCAGGCTTACTAACTTTATATTACTTTCTCCTGATAGACAACAGAAAAAATGTGAGCTTTTATTTTTCTGATCACATGGTATACTTATTCTTGCAAAGTAAGATCATAATCTGATTACACCATTCAGCTAAAAAAATGCTGTGGTTTCTTAACGTTAGTGTGTGAACGATGACAAATGTAAACAATTGGTGGTGCCAAAACAAGTGTGTTTTAACCCCCCAGATTTCCGCTATCAACAAAACCAATGGATTTGAATACTCCTATGCAGACAAGAGGTATCAGAATCTGAGGATCCGGTCATGATGACCAAGCCTGGTACACATTTTCTTGGCATTGAGCAAGAGAGAAGACTATTGCAGAGTTATTCATTCTATCCCATGTTCGTGTAGCTGACGTTAATCCACATTCGACACCAAGGAACATACCATTACCACCTCACAAACAGGAGCTGCCTTAAATACCCCAGACTCTGACCTTCATATCAAGACTAACGTAACGCAACATCATGAAGTATCCCATTACCACCTCACAAACAGGAGCTGACTTAAATACCCCAGACTCTGACGTTAATATCAAGACTAACGTAACGCAACATCATGAAGTATCCCATTACCACCTCACCAACAGGAGCTGCCTTAAATACCCCAGACTCTGACGTTCATATCCCAGCTGCTGGTTGCGATGCCGTAGCCCGCGTCTGCCACGCTCAAAGAAGTGATGCGGTTCTCATGCCCCTGCATGGTGCCTGCAAGAATAACTTCCAGCTCACAACTTTTTCCTCTCACATGAGTTAACAATTAATTAAAGGATTACTTTGTTTAGGAAAATATGACATACCATGATGACTGGCACAAACTTTCCCTGCTTATTTGAACGATAAGTAATCAATATATTACTCTGTCTTAGAAAATCCGGCATATGATGATGCCTAATAAAATTCATCTGACTTGAAGTGTATCAAAGATTGAGACTTTTCTAATTGGGTTTCAAACGCTCATGAAATCGAGTAACTTCAAAAAGTCCCTATTGAAAACTTACCGACGCGCGTGGTCTTAATCACTTCCAAATTAGTGACATACCGACCAACGTGCTCGGACTTAAGCACGTCCCAGATGTGGATTTTTCGACATGTCCTGTCTTAAGCACGTCACAGATGTAGTATTACCGACGTGCGCGGTACTGAGCACGTCACAGATGTGGACTTACCAACGTGCACGGTATTGAGCACGACTCAGATGTGGACTTACCAACATGCGTGGTCTTGAGCACGTCCCAGATGTGGACTTGGTTGTCATCGGAGCCGCTGAAGAGATACCGTCCTGACTTAGAGAGGCCGCAGCAAGTGAAGCCAGAGTTAGCAGTCGGAGGCTTGTACTCAGCCACCTGCCCAGACAACTCGGATAACTGAACTAAAATATTATCCCTAAACAGACTGAATTATTTTAGTTTACTTATTAATAATAATAATTAATATATTAATATTAATAATATTAATTGATAATAACAATCATTATCACTCGAATGTTTTTTCACACGTGTTTGCTGTCATTTGGTTCATCCATGACAGCATAAGTTTCTTCTTTGTTATGCGAGTGAATCCATGCATGAATTGAACCCTTTTTTTCCGGGGAAGGAACGGGGATTTAACAGGAGCTAATCAGTCCTGTTGAAGAGCCTGATTATCCTCTACAGCTGTTCAACGCATTTAATCAACGTTTGTTATTCATGTATATTACCAGTCTCGCTGGTGCTCCTTCTATCCATATAAAAGGTTCAGAGTACTTAATAACATGTGGTATTCATGTACGAGTAGGCCAACAGTCACGTTAAAACCTTTGTTGATACCATTCAACGGTTCAACGCACTTAATAGCCATGTGGTGCTCATGTTTATCAACAGTTCTGATGATTTACCTGTTGGTCGCTCCTGATGTCCCAAAGACGAGAAGTCTTGTCTTCAGAAGCCGATGCGAAACAGGTGCCCGATGGATGAAACTGTTTCAGCCAAATGCATAATTGAAATTTTGAAATGAAAATTTTAAGTGAAATTGAAGTGAAAATTTTGTTTTACAATCGTTATCTTAAGCATCAATTTAATCAACTCTGCACTTAAAGTTTTGGGTCTAGCTGAATATTTTGGTGTGGTCGCATTGAAATGATATAGATTTTGTTATTGAACTTTAAAGGGATGGGATTGATGGGAAAATCTTTTTCAATTTAATTTTATTGCCAACTCAAAATGTCTTTGGAACTGCTTTAATATGTTTATAGATATACTAATAGTTGCGGTCGTGAGGTCAAAAGTTAAATTAAAGTGCACGATTAATATTGTGAGATTACGTTGGAATTGAAAATGAACAACCTTAGATAATACAAGAAATAATCTCTCTGCGGTATTGCGTGACATTTATCGGCACGATTGCGACACGAATGGGGTATTGCGACATTATTATGGAACAACCACATGATAAGTCGAAACTACAATAATTTTTGTAATCCAATTAGTCGCATTTAGAATGCTTCTTTTTCAATGCATAAAAAGAGAGACCATACATGGGTTTTGAAGCACCAAGTATTTATGCACCTAGAAACAGCTAGTGGTTTCAAAATATATTCCCTTCGGCCGGGTGGGTTGCAAGGTCTTTTTTACGGACAAATTCCCCAATTTAGTTTTTTTAATTGCATTGGCCAGAAAAAAATTATGATGGCTAACTTAATTTTTAAATGTTAAAAAACGCGAAAGAAAGGAAAATATATTTTTTGCACCTTAATCTACAAATTTACTAGTAAACATTGAATAACGTTATTAGTAATAATAATTACCGTTTGTAGCATCTTGCACAAATGTTTCAAATTGATCTATAGTTGCCTAAAGTGAAAAATTAACAATATTAAACTCTAACTACTTCCGAACAGTGAATAAACAGCTCTTAGTTTGGGAAGTACTATCGATGAATGAGAAGTAATTTTGTTTGTTTCGTGTTATCCTAAATAAAATTTACAACACATCAGCCAGTGAGCGTTTAAAGAAGACTCACACAGACGCTGTTGACGTCGGAGTTGTGTCCCCAAAATGTTTGTTTGCAGTCTTTAGGGTCCCGCAGGTCCCAGAGTTTTATGGTGCGGTCTACAGACCCCGTCAGGAAAGTGTTGCAGTCGGGGGCGAGCGACATGGTCGCCACGTCCCCCGAGTGGCCGAACCACTCGTGCACTTTGTCACCCGTGGTGATGTTCCAGTGGATGCTGTCGGGTACATTACAACATGAGTATATTACGTTGAGTTATTTTTTGTAGCTTATTATCGAGTTCATCTCGATCTTGTTACGTGTTTAACCTAAGCTTATTCCTTAGTTAGACTTAATGGATTGCTTGGAGTTTTACAGAAGAATGAGAGCCGTTTTTTAGATTCCAGCCACCGCTCTTTAGGGGGGTCGATTTTACTGATAAGCGTTGAATTTCAGTCTGCTATTAGTAGCACCATGAAAAGAGGGCTCCAAAACGCAAAAATCTAAAATATATGCAAAAAAGAAAACGAAATGAATTTTTAAAATTAATTCAACATGACTGGTGCAAACATGAATAAACAATATAGGGCGTTACTCACACTTTCATGTCACCGGAACCCGTGAGGAGATTTTCGTCGTCGATGAAGCGACTGCATGACAAAAAGCCTTCGTACCCCATGAGCTCGCGGGCGATCTTGGCGGCCCCGGTGTTGTCGCGGTTGTTGAGGTCGTGCACGGTGCATTGGTTGTCCATGCCGCCACTGGCTAGTACCGGAAAAATAACAGAGAATAAATTCGCAAAAAACTGAAGACAAGTGTTGATTTGTGCACATCTTTAAAGTTTTCGTGGTGGTTCTTGTTTAACGTGTGTTCGCTGTATACTTCGCAGTTGTCTTCACAATTTCCAAGGTACCGACGAATAATGTCATGCACCAGAATATTCTCTTTACAGCGTTTCAATCGCGATTTATTGCATCTTTGAATATGCTCATACATGTGAATGTAACTTAGATGATAATCGTAAATGCTAACCGACAAAGTTGCCGGTTTTCGAGAGGGTGCAAGACATGACCCAGGCCGACATGAGTGGGATGATCTGGGTCTTGTTGCCGGTGTAGATGTCCCAGATGATGAGCTTGCCGTCCAGGGACCCCGACACCAGGTGCCTGAGTAACAAGATTTGCGCAATGATACTCGATTATATAGACATGAAATTTTATCAGTAATGACGCGCTAGAACACAGGTACAAACAATTATGAAACTAAAATTCACATTAAAGATATTAAAACATAAATTGTCACTCGAAAACAAATAAGGAGATAAACATGAGCAGACAAACCTATCTATTTACAATTTTGAGGAGATACGAACTGTAAGCGGTATTTGAACTAGGATTTTACTTAAAAATATACAGGGACCGGAAAATTCGGTCAGAAAAACGGGTTGTGGAGGCTAACTCTAAAATCACTCTCGGACACAGGGACGTTGCACTGCTCTACAACCGGTTTTTCTGACCTCGAAATTGTTTATAAATAGGTTTGTCTGCTCTTGTTTACCTCGTTCTTATTTGTTTTCATTTGGCGATTTATGTCTTATTGTTTTTAATGTGAATATTAGTTTGCTAATCCTAATTGTTTGTACTTGTGTTTTAGGTTTTGAACTGACGATGGAGCTGGACTCCGAATCGTTTTCTCGCATAAGAAATAATGAATTTTCTGGCTGTTTTCCTTGCTTTCAAATTCTTGATAAACTTGCGATTTAAGCAATCAAGTGATCTTAATTAATTTTTGTCCTAACTTCGCAAAATTTAACACTAGATTAACCTTAATGGTAATATTATTCTATTACACGAATTTTTTACTTAACTAAAGATCTGGTAAAAACACATGTAAATTCAAAAAATTTAATATCCTATGCATCTGAAGAGTGTTACGCAAACATGAATAAATTCTAGTAATGGATCCCTCGGTCTATAAGGTAACTGGATTCCTGGATTTATCAGATCCCTCTTTCCTCCCAATCGAGAAAGTTTTCCCAGTGACTGGACTGAAAAAGCGTGAATGAAGAAGCCACTGAAGAGTGACCGTCTCATGACATTCCCGTTCGTAATTTCCTTGATGAGAGAAAACGTAGCTGAATATTTTTTCTCGAAGGCGCAGCGAGTGCGACAGAGAGAGTCGAGATCGTGGCTTTCAACGGATTTGCTCGTCGGTTTTGCTTTAGTTCAGCACGACGCGAACAAATTTATCAATTGCGAGAATGGATATGCTTTCTAACGGTGCACTAGAAATATTACCAACAAATAAATTCTCCAAAGTTTCGATATAAGTACCAACATGAATGTAATGCAATTTACATGAGAAACTTGCGGCAAACATTATCCTGCCAACATTTTACATAAACCTTAGATGACTACGACTTACCTGCCATCATGGTTACCTGTGAAAATCACGAAAAGACATGAATGCTAAATAATCTTCAGTTGTATTCGTACTGAGAGGCTTAGTAACGAGAGACTGTTGCTAGTCCGAAAAGTCTTTTATTTCTCATTGTTCCTTCTTTCAAATGACCCTAAATGTTTAGCTCAGTTTAGCCTCACAATACAACACGACAAACACGATACTACGAGCGATCACCATACCACAATGTCTTTGCAGGGGATGGACATGAAGGTACAGGTTGGCCTGGCAGGTAGGTATAATGCGACCGGCAACCACCACGCCAACAGGTGTGGGTGAGACCATGCCTCACTTACAATTTTTCTCCGTCAATCTTGATTCTAATTCAGGGATGAGCACTCACATTTAAATCTCATAAATATTCTGGCATGTTTAATAGGGAGCAAATTCATCCAAGTGGTAGAAACCCCGATGGTTTTTTCGGCCGAACGCTGCCGTTCTTACACGGCTGCCGTGTAAGAACGCTGCCGTTCTTACACGGTCGTGATTTTGACTGGATACAGTGCATAAAACAGTTCTTGCCGCAATTTTTTTTTGCAAGTGGGTTATAATTACTAGTTAGGGGTACGGTAAGGTCAAAAATCCATGGCCTGACCTGCCATTACGCACGCCATAGCATGCAGGCCGGAAGAACTGCAAGGTGCACTAAGGTCGACCGCACATGATGACTCCGCGCCATAATATTCACACAGGACACTAAAGAGTTACAATAAGGCGCAAAAGGCACAGCCTCACCTGCTGTCTCCGGAGAAATGCACGCAGTTCACTTTATTGATGTGGCCTTTCAGCAGGCGTTTGCAGACGAGCTTGATTTTGGGCGCTGGTTCGACGCCGCTGCATGCAGATTCCAGCGTAACGTCCGCCTTCGCCTTCTGCGCCTCCTGCGTGAGTATAGGAAATTTCAGTAGAAAATTAGAGGTAGTATAGTGAACTAATCATTATTCATATCCTGTAAGAACAAAAACATGTTTAGACCAAGTTTCTTAATATTATTGAATTCAAATAAGTACGCATTTCTAAAATATAGTGAGTACAGCGATATTTTGTGTTTCCAACGATCAAAATTAGCCAACCCTGATTTCATTGACTACAGAAGTACAGAAAAAGTTTGAAGGCTCATCCATTCCCTCAAATCTCTATGAAATTGAGGAAAAAACCTTGTTTTGACCTCTATGTGAACAAATTGACATAATCAAATGTATACGTATTTTCCAATCTGAATGAAAATGAAACACCCCGTAGTGTTTATTTTGTTCTGATGAGCTCAGGCGTCGCAAGAGCAACACAAGCCCCACAAAAGTACACAGTCGGCAATCTGCTGCGCAACTTTTGCTTCAAAGCTGCACCCGGCGAGCTGACTTGTAAGTACGCCAAATACAAAAATAAATTTAATGTTCAGTAAGAATTCGCGAATGGTGCGACTTGCAATCCCGAGAGGTAGTTTAATGTTGTGTGAAAATTTCCGAGTGATGCGACTTGTATCGCTGTCATGCAATACGTTGCAACATCCATCAATCGTTGCATCATTCATCAATCGGTGATCTGGCACAAGCTCCTGCTGAACAACAAAGCCACTTCACGGCGGTAGCGTAGACCGCCATTGTTCTCAGTATCAGAAATAGTTTGATCTCGTGACAATCGATCCAAATGTCAAATTCTATTGCAGCGTTCGAGTTCCGTGGATTGCACTGGAGCTTTGAGCGTTGCGTTACTCAGTTGAGTATACGAATCACTAAAACAAATACACGCAGCTCTTTGTCTCAGTGCTACACTAATTGTTAACATGGCAATAATCTTCATGAGCTACGTGATAATTTCTGAAATTCGTCGGCTCGAATGAGTTATGCGGAATATTTTTTTTATTTGACGTTGCGGTGTGTGGGAATAAATTAAAATGAAGTTTTAACGACGTAAAATACTTCCCGTAAAACGAAATTTTGCTTTATGTAGACATGGCAAATCAATTGCAGGTAAGTCGCAACATTTACGGAAATTTAACAGGCTGACGCTTTCTTTGCTTGTCAGATCCTTCATCCTTTCTCATCAGAGCTGCATTATTTGTCGAGCTCGAGCGTTGCGACCAATACAGGTGCGCAGGCATGAGTTATTGCCTCTGCTGCAGGCCTTGTTATTATGGACACTTCTGAATATCTCCCTATAGAACCCAATGCCCCCAGGAGTCCTGTAGTGCCGCAGGACTGCTAGACTTTCACCGCATCGTTAAATTTTTATTGTACCTGCTTTTCTCGCTTTTCTCAGAAATGTGTCAGTGATAGGAGCAGATGGAGGAATGGAAAATTAGCAAATGTGATGTAATGAAATAAATAGAAATTGGCCAATTTTGGCTGTAACTAGCCAAAAATGAAGCTGATTTATTCGTGAAAAAATTATTATAATTAATAAGGTATTAATTGAACTGATATGCATAATGTGTATGTTTGAAATATTTACTACAAGCCTTTCAAATAACTAAAGTGGAGTCACCAACATATAATCAACTGACCGATACAAATAACGTCTGGAAGCGGCAGCAGCAAAGCACGTTTTGCTTCCGTGAGCATAGAAAGGCTCAGATTTATGCCGCGCGTAATGGGTGGTGTTATAGCGTGTCGCTTTCTTAGCTAACTTTGTGAGGCACTGCAACATCTTATGACACATACTAAACAACTTTCGGCCAACGGAATATTATATAATGTTTGTGGAAATATTTAACTTTGAAGTTTTAGGGCAAAACATTTCAAAAATAAATCATTTGATTATCGGTTACCTGCTGACATCAATGATTGGGTTTATGAACCATGAATGACTATGTTTAACTAAAAAAATTATTGCAAAATAAGCTTATTTCACAGTCACGTGACCGCAGACATTTGACCGATTATTTACCACTCAAAAGTCATGCAGAACAGTAGTATCTTCTTACACAGTTAAACACTTGCCAAATCATTACACTAATAGCAATGTCCTTAAGGCATACAATGCCTAGGGTATATGTCTAGGTTGGAATGCAAGCCGTTATAATGACCCAACGCCAGATGTTCTTTGGCAGGATGGTGCAGGCTGCGGCTGGATAAACTTCTCTTTCATGCAAGCCACGTACTGAATTAAACTTTTGTTCACGTAAAAAATTTGATTTGAGTTCTAATTAGAATTGTAGAATATATTTTTAGCATCTTTTGCGTCTCGTTTAAAGTATAGATTTAAATAAAAAACAATTACGTTAGTTGGTACTGGGGCTGAGGTAAAGCATACTCCATCAGGCCACAAAATAACTGAAATTTTCCTGTAAATATCAAGTGAAGTTAATAAGCAACACCCAAGTTAAAAAGGTTGAAGTATTTAGCCCGAATTTCACTCTTCTGGTAAGTTTTCACAAAACCAAAGCATCATGATTCGAAGCGGTACGTGAAAACGAAGCGAATGCGACACGCTTCTTGCCACCGGCACGGAATCCATGCACCTCGACGCTCGCGTACGTGACGCCTGTGGCGAGCGCTGCCTCAGCAACGCTGAAGAGTGAAAGCTTTGTTTGCCGCGGCCGTAAAGTTTCTTCGGTGGCGAAGAACATCGAGGGATGCTAGTCGTGCACCGGCGTGCGGTCTGCTGGCACATTCTCAGCAATAGCTCGTGAATCAACTATCGTTGAGGGCTGAAACTTAAATTCAGTGAGATCTTCAGTTGATAAGTACTGTTTTAATTGCTATTTGTTAAATTTGTTTTTACTTTTGTTAATTGTATCTCGTAGAATTTCATCGTTAAAGGTGGCAAGATTTTTATTGGCCTTAATACAGCAATAAAAATATCCCAATCTATTAGGGCATAAATAAAGAATTGAGCTCATAAGCTAAGAAAAATAAAAATAGCAATGAATTTTGGAATGTTGATCCTTGCGTTGCTGGCAGCCTGTGTTCATGGCATCGAGTTCTCTGGCTCTTATTCTGTAGTCGTCACGCGCCCCCCGATTGAGATCAAAGAAGTTGCCCACATTCCCCCATGGGGAATTGGCTACTATATTCCCCCAAAGTCCACACGCATGGAGTCCGGACTTCCTCCTGAGGAAGAGGAAGAAGAACTCAAGGCGAAGAACGAAGACGGGGAATACTATGTGGACGCCAGGGAGCAAGACTTGGTGGTAGAAGATGTTCGCGTTGGGTTTGACAGAGGCGAGGAGGTTGGGGTGGGAGTGCAGCCTGGCATGTTGTGCGTCGAGGATGAACGGCCCATGGGTGAGGACGGCATCAACTATTGCAGGAGACTCACCGATGAGGACAAGAAACGTATGGAGCGAATGTCTAAAAGTAAGTAATACTCAAAATTTAAAACACCTACTGGTCCATCTATCAGAAACACATATGTAGGGATCAATTGCTGATGAATTAGCACATTTGAGCATCAAGTTATGTTTTAGTCAATATGAAAAAATTTACGTTGCAAGCAATCAATGTGTCTGAAACAGGAAGCTATTAATTCACCTTTTTTGTGCTATTTTTTCGATTTTTCGTCAGACAATTAATGTTCCTGAAAGAAGCAATTACCCAGGAAAGGAAAGTCGGCAATGCTAACTTTTTTAATCTCAACCTAATTAAAAATTCTGCAGACGGTTGGGAGGACAGGTGATTGCAGCAATAAGAGTTTTGAAATTTACGACTAGAGCCCACCGTGCAAATTGCGTTCGCGAGAACCCTGTGTGGTGGCGGCGTGACGAAGACGAATGACCATATCGGCTCAAAACAGAGGGCGTGACACATTTTCATGCACAATTTATTCAACCATGAAATCTTGTCCAATTCTAATAATTGTATGCAATCTATTATTCAAAATCTAAACATTCGAGATAGAATGAGTTGAGACTCACCCGAATCTTTGCGATGGAGTCGTTGAGTTCCTTCTTGAGGACTTCCAGCTCGGCATCTTTAGGTGGCATGATGACTTGGGATGTTGCGTCAATGCAGCAAAAATCAGGAATGTACCAAGGCTACAATACTGTTTTGGGTATGTAATCAATGTTAATTTTAAAGAGGCTGTTATATTGAAGAATAGCTTGCAACCCGCAGGAAAATAACATAAATATTATGTATATACAGTTGATTAATGTAAGAATTGAAATACTCGCGTTGGATCGATGTCGCGATAATGGGACCAGTTTTGATGCCAGTAATTTTGACTGTTAAATTAAAGGATAATTTAAATCAACCTCTGAGTGAAGCAAGCAAATAAATTAGATGTATAATTTCCAAAGTGAACGTAAAACAAAATTCAGACCAGAGGTTTCAAAACTGGTAAGCGTCCCAGTAGTATGTGATGCACTTCCTGGTGATATGCAAAATCTTTCGATTACAATGATAGATTTTTAGTAAGGTGATTTATGCTTCGCAGAAAATACTTACTACCTAAGACAAGATCTTTTAATGATTTGCAACTACTGCCAGATGCCATCAAACTGGTCTGTCAAATTGAAGGAGTAAAATTACTTAATGCTTATTTTCAAGTGGTACTCGGTCAAAAAAGTTTGGAACCACTAATTCACACTAGGCTTCTAAGATATTTGAGTTTATGACTGAGATGTAGAGTAGCTGTTCCTGCTGTTTACTTTGCTTTTTCTCCTCAGTTAAACTAATATGTGCCCAATTGAATTCAATCTCAGGCCGACACATAACTTAATTTAAAATTTGTTTACAAGTTTCCATACCTAACTTGAGACCGATACTTAATGTCAACAAATATTGTCACTCGTTGAATCCACGGAGACGCTGGACAATATTTTGTATTTGCACGCATACATATTGAGCGTAATTTGGCACACAGAGAACAATTGTGTACACATGGGACACAAATAATTATTGAAATAATAATGTGTTCCTGTGTGTGTGCAAACACAAATAATTATGAACATGCATAGTGAGAACTGGGCACCAGCCCTCGGCATAAGCGGTCTGAGGAAGGTAGAGGCGCTAGAAGCCAGTCAAGCGTCGGTCATCTAATTAGGGCAGCAACTCTCAGCTGGACTGGGCTTCGATGGCTGTGGCTGTAATGGCTGCGACGTCAAGAGGCTGTAATGTCTGAGGCGCTAACAGGCTTTAATGGAATGGAGGTGGCTTTTAGTCGTTATAATGACTGTGGTGTTATGAGGCTGTAATGGCTGTGGCGTAAAGAGGCTGTAATGGCTGTGGCGTTAAGCGGTTGTAATGGCTGTGGCGTTATGGGGCTGTAATGGCTGTGGTGTTATGAGGCTGTAATGGCTGTGGCGTAAAGAGGCTGTAATGGCTGTGGCGTAAGAGGCTGTAATGGCTGTGGCGGTAAGAGGCTGTAATGGCTGTGGTGTTATGAGGCTGTAATGGCTGTGGCGTAAAAAGGCTGTAATGGCTGTGGCGTAAAGAGGCTGTAATTAATGGCTGTGGCGTTAAGGCGTTAAGCGGTTGTAATGGCTGTTGCGTTATGGGCTGTATGGCTGTGGCGTTAAGAGGCTGTAATGGCTGTGGCGTTAAGCGGCTGTAATGGCCGTGGCGTAAAAAGGCTGTAATGGCTGTTGCGTAAAGAGGCTGTAATGGCTGTGGCGTTAAGCGGCTGTAATGGGTGTGGCGCAAAAAGGCTGTAATGGCTATGGCGTAAAGAGGCTGTAATGGCTGTGGCGTTAAGCGGTTGTATTGGCTGTGGCGTTTTGAGGTTGTAATGGCTGTGGCGTTAGGAGGTTGTAATGGCTGTGGCGTTGGGCGGTTGTAATGGCTGTGGCGTTAGGAGGTTGTAATGGCTGTGGCGTTGGGAGGTTGTAATGGTTGTGGCGTTTGGAGGTTGTAATGGCTGTGGCGTTGAAAGGTTGTAATGGCTGTGGCGTTAGGAGGTTGTAATGGCTGTGGCGTTTGAAGGTTGTAATGGCTGTGGCGTTAGGAGGTTGTAATGGTTGTGGCGTTATCAGTCGCGAATGTAGCTGTTAAAATGCGAGGTCATTGGAATACACTAAATTTTTTAGTTCGTGCCCCAATTCTCATCAAATTATTTAATAATTGAATGTGACTTTTTATTCACTTAATTTACGTAGATGTTTAATAGAATGTTTAATAGAATAGAATTGTTGGAACTGAAGAAATATGATTTTAGCCTTGGTCTAACGTTGCTACGATCACATTTGTTGAGATGAGAACACTTTTCTGTTCGTACTCACTTCATCAGTCAATAACATCGTTGACTAACACACGCCGTCCAAGCACACTGGACAAATGTTTAACTAATTTGATTCTAATTTTGAGAAAACGGAGCGGAAATTGTACTCCAACTCAAGTATATTACGCGCTAAAATTACGTCATTTCGCGCTTGCGACATGGAAACAATGAGCATGTGATGTGAATATGAGACGAAATGTAAATTTTATATGTTCCCATAAAATTTGAAATGATGAATGCGACTGTCTGGAATCTAGATTAAAACAAATTCTCTCGTTATTCATTTGTTTTGGCCTATTTTTTTCTAACAATTCAAGACAGAATTCTTAAAATTCAATGAATATGAATTTGTGATGTCGCGTAACCCACTCTCATGATATTTTATCGGCAGGTAATTTTCTAGCTGTGCTAGAAGGATTACTTGGTTCATTAAAATATGAAGAAGAAATGGTCGGGAATAAATTAGTAAAGAATCCAGTAGAAATAATAGTTGCACCTAAAATTTATAGCACCGACAAGAATTAGAAAAGATTTTTAGTCAATATAGAAGCAACGATAGTTGAGTAGAAAATAAACGAGTCTGTTCAACAATGGTTGTGGTTTTGTGTTAATCACAAAATTCAGTATTCCTAAAATAAGTATTTCAAAATTAATAGTTATAAATTCTATGTTTAAGAAGCAACGATAGTTGAGTCGGTAATAAATGTGTCTGTTCAACAATGGTTGTGGTTTTGTGTTATTCACGAAATTCAATATTCCAAAAATAAGTATTTCAAAAACAATAGTTCTAAATTCTATGTTTAATAGTTCTTAAAGGCGGAAAGATCTGGAGACGGCAAAGTCACCCTCCCGCGGCCGCACACTGACCTGCACTTCCAGCCGCTGCCGCGTGCCTCGCCTTGCAAGGCTTCTCACTGCACGCTTGTTTAGCTCTACTTCCAAGCCTTCAGTGAACATTTTTATTTGAATAAAAGCTTTGAATGAATATTCTGCCCGTAGGCAAATTACGATTATATGGTAATAACTCGTACGAACAGTCGTCAAACGATGCATATCTAGCTTTGCCTGTACATTGTACAATGTTCGAATAAGCCCGCTTTCACAGCACATAAAAACAAGCTGCACCCGAGTTTTAGTATATATGTCTGACTTGAAGTCTACTCAATTAATGAGAATACGAATGACTAAGTCTATAACTAGGTGCACCGTGCATCGATGCTAAGGGTCTACGTGCCAGCTACGATGCGACCTACGATTGCCTAGTATATTCTCAATCCAAATGTGCTCTTAATTAGATTAAGAGGGGGCGAAGTTTGTAAGTCGGTGGATCGATGCAATGGCATCACCTATGAATTTTTATATCGAGTGAATACCACACATTTCATATTGAATATCATAGCGATCATATGATGTTGATTGTTGACCTTGATATTAATTAATCACCATACGAGTTAACATTCCACCTTCTATCAAATTAATTGTTGCAATATTAATATATTTACTGATCTTTATGTTATAAGGCACTTTAAATTCAATATTATGAAAAAGGTCAAAACTTGAAAGATTAAATATAGAGAAACTTATCACTGATATAAAATAGTTAACGCTACAGTCCTCAATGGAATAGAAAATTTTCACAGGAAATGGTTCATGGCTCTATTTTAGGGTAAGCAAATTCATTTATTGAATGGACTTTTGGCATTGGCTAAGTATGTTTACAGCCGTAGGCCATACATTTAATTATTAAACGAGCCCTGGAGCCAACGACCAGCCTCACAATGCAATAACGTTACTCAGCCACAGAACTAGAAGCCGCAGAATACGCTAGAACATCGTAATACAGATTAATGACACACTGCTTAAAAGTTATAGGTATAGGCAATAACGCAGATTTTCAGTCAATGCTTAAAAACATGCTCGCTCATATGCGGGCAGTTCCGCATCCGGCTGCACCTACGACGGAACGGCCTATAACCTCTTCTGGCCTAACCTGTTCACGTTGTCTCGGCTCTGCCTTGGACGAGTCTCCAGAGCTCCCTCAGCTCCAAAAGAAGGAGAAGAAGAGTTGTCTCGGCTCACAACCTTCTTGCATCCAATGACTGGCTCTACGCCTCTACCAGCTCACTCGAATCGCCTTTCAAACTTCCTGTCGCTAATGTGGTTAGGTTCGTTCAGGTTCGTTTTGGGTGAAGAAATATTGCAACTTGTGTGGGTTAGGCCAGAAGAGGTTATGCTGGAAGAGGGTTAGTCAGATGCAGTACGACCATGCTTGCCTTTAGCTTGCCTAAGTGATGGCTATGGAAATCTATAGGTATAGTTTGAACAATCGACTTCATAGGCTGCTATTCTCTCAAACGTTATTGGCCAAGGAAAGGAATATGAATAAAGCGCGAAAATGGGCAAAGCTGGCCTTTGGCATGCGCTTCGGCAAAGCCGTTTGAACTATAATTAAAAAATATAACTCAGTACTCACTGCAGTGAGTGACAGAGAGCGCAATTTCTCGTCGACGAAAACGTGAAGTCACGGACAGACAGACGGACGGACAGACGGACATGGCGAGCACAATAGTGCATTTTTCCATAAATGAGAAAATGCGCTAAAAATGGACTACGGCACTAGCAACATTTGTACGTTTTAGAGGCTGCGGTTTGATTTGGGTAGCTAAGAGTCAAGCCGGTACTTTATGTGTTGATTTTAGCATATCGCTCTTGTTGCTTCGTCTTTTGTTGCTGCTTCGTCTTTTGTTGCTGAGAAATAAAATTTGATTTCAATTTTACTACTGATATTATTTTATATATCTTAAAGTATTTCCGTACCCGTAGAACTGTAGAAAATAACTACTTGGCATACTTGGTAAAAATTATGATGCTGCAAAAATCATGAAATGTCCACTAACAACAACTATAAAATCTGTCCTTTTTGCCGTTGTGGTAGCACCTCTGTCCGAAATATGAGTTCTCTGATGCTTATCAACAAGTTATCAGCGATGCGGATAAAAAAAGGATCGCTTAGTGGCAATTCGCATAAAATTGATGATTTTTGTTACACTTTAATCTATGCATGCAGTCGAAAATGTATTTTCCTAACCGGGTCGCGACTGCAACCGAAAA